GGGAGGAAGCCCGGAGAGAGAGGTGGCCGGCGATGGAAGAAAATGGAGAAAGAGAGAGAGAGAGGGGGGGCTGTGCGTGGGAGAACCAGTGAAGGAAGAAAAAGAAAAAAAAAAGGAAAGAAAGAGAGAGAGGGGGGCTGGGCGCACGGGAAGGGAATGGGGGGGAAAAGAAAAAAAAGAAAAGAAAAAAAGGAAAAGAAAAAGGAAAGAAAAGGAAAAAGAAAAATGGAAAAAGGGAAAATGTATTAAATTTAAGTGTGTTTTCCAAAAATCTTTGGGGTGTAATTATAAATATTGAAAATGACTTAAAGTCCCTTAATTAATTATGAAAATCAAATTAGGCACACTAATAATCCACAGTTTAGCATAATTAAACATGTTTAATTCTAAAGGGCGTTACAACATTACCAAGTATTTGTTTCCTTTTTTTTTTGTTGATAAAACTGTCTTCTATGTTTCTTCCGTCAATCTTCTGGTTGTATTTCTTCCTTAAAGTTATCACGATTATGAAATCCATAAGTAAAATCAATGCAAAAATTCAAGCTAAAATCAGTGATCATTTATCAAAGAATGATTCTGCTTATCAAATGATTGAACAACCGGGAGCTAATGTTACGAATAAGACCAATAGTAATATTGGAGGTACGATAACACCATAAATTAAACCAGTAGTAATATTGGGGTCAGAACCAACATTTAATTAGGATTAAAACCAGTAGAAATATTGAAGCTAAAACCATGAGTAATACTGGAAAGAGGACTCACCCCATTAATTAAAGAATAGCCAAAGAACAGTTTTCGAGGAGCAACTTGGATTATCAATATTCAAATAATTACCAATGTTTTTCATATTAGGAGCTAAATCTTTTATCTACTTTTTTCTGCATTACCCTTTCCTTATCCATTTTGATAGGTTTTAAAGAAAAAGGGGGAAAAAATGCAAGAACTCACCCTTCAAGAACCATGGTATAATAATGGTTGTGTAATTGTCTGAGCAGTTTTGGCATCAAATGCCCCATGCGCATCTGTCCAAAGGTCAATGACTTGTTAGTCAAAAAATAAAAAAACTTCCTTGAAAACACGATTAAGCATAGAAGAACAAAGATCAATCCCATGCGACAATACTTCTAAGAATGCATAAGAAAATTAAGACTACATCCCTTTTCCACAACCACAAGGAAAAAAATCGAGAAAAAAAAAGAAAAAGAATAAGTAGTTAGTTTTAAAAAATGGATAGAAAAACTTTGATGGAGTTTTATTGTAGTCTTCAGTTGTCTTTACAAAGATCTTTAGCCTTTCGGAATAGAAAAGGCAGCTAGGTAAGGGAATAAAGAGACTAGGCTCTTAGCCTTTAGGAATCCATGCCAGGGTGCCACTCCTAAAGCAGAAAAACAAGATCGTGCCTCAGCTATTTTAAAAAAAATAAAATAAAAAAAAGGAACAAAAACCAAACAAACAAACAAAAAGAACATAGTTATTACCTCATAGACAGAATGAAAATCTCCTTGCTCAAGTTTATCTTTGATGGCAAAATGTTTTGTAGTAGCTAATCCAAATCTAGAAAGTTGAAGCTAAGATATGCAACAGGGAACAAAAAATGCAAATTCGTCAATAATAACACTTAAAATCAGAAAAATCTAATAATAGAAGTAGTTCCTTTATCCTTTTGCACTTCCTTTTTTTAATAACTTCACAACCAATAACTCCACCAAACCAAAATTTCTCCAACCAAGGAAACAGAGGAATCCTAAATAAACAAAGAAAAACTATATTACAGCTTTAACATTAAAAGGAGAACCTCAATTTTAATTATAGTAATCAGTTTTCTCTAGGAAAAGAAAAGAAAAAAGAACATGAAGATTACCTTACAGAACCAAATCATGCTTGCACAAGTTTAATTGCGGTGACAAAACGTTATGCACTAGTTAATAATATGTCGACCAAATAGGTAAAGTTGAAGCTAAGCTGGTGCATGCTTTCCTGTGTGGTGCTCTTTGCCACTTTAAGCATATTTCTCTCTCTGTATCAATTATCTAAAATCAAAGATTCAACATCAAATTCTAAGTAAACCTCTAGACATAAGACTTTC